AAAAACTCTTTTAAAATCTTCCAAAATAACCATGGATCATCGTTAATTTCTGCAGGAACAGGTAAACTTGTTAAGGATTCAGAATTTTCGCCAATAAACCCAAGTGCTTATTTTGAATACTTTCGTTGACTTTTCTTTGAGAATTTTTTCACGCTAAAATATTTTTGCGGAGTGCACGTTTCTTCTTTAAATTGGAGAAAAAAGTGATACTCACGCAAAAAAATTATTTTCAAATATTTCGAAACTTGCAGTGATCGAGCTCAAAGTGATGGAAACAAAATCCTGAAAATTTTAGTCTCGTGTCTTGATTTTCAGTTTTGAATTTCGAACTCCATCGAAAAAAAATTGTAAAAAACACCTACTTCTTATATTCCGGTCAATTTTTTGAATACAGTATTTTGTTTTGCTTATTCCCGCGTATCAATATACGAATTTATATATACAGTGTGGGTAAAGTGGACGGCCTGAACTCCCAAATAATTGGCGCGAGCGTGAATTTTGGCAAGAGGCGAATCGCCAGGATGGCGCAAGATTTAGCGAATTCGGGATACAACGCAGAAACGTCGGTGGACGGGCCACGCATCAAATTCCGCAATTTGCGAACGGTTGATGTCAACGATGGGAATGGGTCCGTCATGTGCAGTTATTGGCACATTGGCAGAGACGAATGGGCCACAGATGGCTGCCGAATGGTGCTTTTGACCCCGTCCGAGGTTCACTGCGTGTGCAATCACTTGACTAATTTCGCTGTCCTCATGGACATTCATGGAGCTGTCATTTCTGAGGTGATTGCATTTCAATATACATATATATATATTGCATTTCTATATATATATATGTAGAGAGATTTTAAAAAACTATATATTGATTTGCAATTTATGTATTGAAATTCAATATATATACTGTATATATATATATATATATATATTACATTTCAATATATATATATTGCATTTCAATATATATATATATTGCATTTCAAACTTGTTAAGGATTCAGAATTTTCGCCAATAAACCCAAGTGCTTATTTTGAATACTTTCGTTGACTTTTCTTTGAGAATTTTTTCACGCTAAAATATTTTTGCAGAGTCCACGTTTCTTCTTTAAATTGGAGAAAAAAAGTGATAAGTATATTGGATTTCAATGTATATATATATATTGAATTTCAATATATAAATTGCAAATCAATATAAAGTTTTTTAAATTCCAGCCAAGATCGTAAATTTTGGGACTCAAACTCCATAGTGGATTTTTTTGAATAATTTTTGATAATTTTCTGCAAGAACTACATAGAAACTTTTTGCGCACACCACGTTTCGATCTAAAGAAAATTACCCTGATTTGTCAAATTGCAATTTTTTCTACGTAGATTGTCACAGATGTTATGCCTCATTGTTACCAACATTAAATTGTTGAGGCACATGCTTTGATATGAAGAAAATTTTTACAAGTAAAAAAAAATCAAATTTCATATATAGAATTTTTTGTAAAGGTCATATATTTCTGACAGCCTTGTTATCTGTCACTGACAAACGCTGTCGCGAATTTTCGGAGGCATTTCTGCAGAACCAAGCATATCGAATTTAATCACCAGCCTCGAGCTGGCGGAAAGTAATTTTT